CCCTACCAAGGGCTGTCCACCTTCATCCCATATTGCGTCACTTAGCGCATTCATCTGGGAGCTGACCTTGTCTGTGAAGACGGAGGCAAAGAAAGCATTGAGTACTTCAGCTTTCCCCACATCATCTGTCACTAGGTTACTGCCCTCATCCAGTAAGGGCCCCACATCCTCTCTGATCACCTTCTTGCTAACATGCCTGTAGAAACCTTTCTTGTTATCCTTCACATCCCCTGCGAGTCGCAATTCCAATTGCGCTTTCGCCTTCCTGATACCCCCCCAGCATTCTCGAGCTATACATTTATTCCCCTCCCTAGTCATCTGTTCAAGTTTCCACTTTTTGTAAGCTTCCTTTTTGTGCTTAAGTTCACCAAGGATTTCCCCAGTAACTCAATCCGGTCTCCTACCATATCTGCTTCTCTTGCTATGCTTTGGAATGGTTTCTTTCTGTGCCTTCAATAAGGCTTCTTTAAATTACTGCCAACTCTCCTGGGCTCTTTTCCCCTTCATGTTAGCATCCCAGGGGATTCTACCTGTCAGGGTTGTGGGAAGCCAGGTGAGTTCCTTGGAGTGGAGATAGGAAGAGGGATGGGGATGGCAGAACTAGGAGCAATGCTTGAAAGGGTTAATCTGAGAAGGGGCACAATATATCCATGTGCAGAGACAGGTACCCACAATCATTTCCAGTGGTAACTCTACCCCGACTACCCTCAACTGGACAGCCGATCATCCCCACTTACAACCTTTCGCTCTGGAACACATACTCCTCGGCAATGAACGGGGGAAAGGTTACTTCAATGCCTACCACGCCAATGGCTGGGCTTCTGGAGCCTGGCCGGCTCCCATCCCCTTTATCTCAGAGCCCAGGCAGACAGCTCCAGCGAGAGAACAGGTGGCACCTGGCCTCAGGGCTTTATCAGGCAGGAGGATCAGGGCCCCTTATGTCCTGTGTCTGTTTTCAGGTAGGCTCACTTCCCCCGGCGCTTTCTGAAGCAATGCTGCTGCCTGTCACTCGCAGGGCACGTCCATCTCTGCTTTTCCTCCTGCTCTCCTCTGCTGTCCCCGGAGGGAGATGACAGGCACATCTGTCAAACTTGATTGTCATCAGCACCCTCGCCCCCACCTCCTGGGGGACAGTCTGTGCAATCCCTTGAAAGCTGCCAGGGAAGTTTTAGTCTCTCCGCCTTGCAGACTCCCCAGGAATGAACTGAGCTGAGTTGGGCCGGGCGTTGTGGGATTTCTCATCTCTCTCCCCTCGCTGTTTGCATTGGCGAAGGCTGCTGGCCTGTTTTCTCTGTTTTCTGTACTGTCTGCTGCTGCTTGAACTCCACTGCCCCGTCTGCTCAGCCTCCTGGAACCAGAGGGATGCCTCCAGGACTCAGGAGGAGAGTTGGTTTCCGGGAGCCATTCCATTTCTGGCTTCTCTGTTGGGGCTGCACTGTGGACTTGGACAGGGCTCTGCTATAAACTTGGGCTCAGAAGCACCAAACCCATGTCCCAGGAGCCACCAGCCAGCTGTCAAATGAGAACGCTTTTGGCCACAACTGACTTGGGCTGGCTTTGAACCAGCAACCTGAAGGTGGAAGTCTAGGCAGGTCTCTTTACTAACAGTCCTAATGGCTTGGGGGCGGGGGGGAGAAGGGGGAAACACAGACTTCCCAGGCCCCGGGGCCAGATGTGCGTGTGGGGGCGGTTCCACAGAAGGGGTGAGGCCTCATGCAGAAGAGGCAGGACTGTGCCATGCTGTACCCCTCTCCAGGCCATGACCCTCCCCAAGCAGCCCTCAGAGCTACCTAGAGTGTGTGGCAGAGACCCAGAAGCAGCCCTCAGAGCCACCCAGAGTGTGTGGCAGAGACCCAGGCCCTCTTAAATCACTGGACACTGAGGCAATTAGTTCTTTGCCCCTCTGAAGACGGTCACCAGCTCCTAGGACAGTATCAGGTTTTTTTATGCAGGAGTCCTGGGTTTGATTGCTGGAGCCAGGCTTTTGTTCCTGGGGCTAGGAGGGTGAAATATTCCGGCTCTCAGGGGCAAAGAAGAGGGTACACAGCACACAGGTCCACATAGGAGCTCAGAAAGACGTCCCATCAAAGCCTACTTGACTGGAGAGAAGGTTGGTCACCACCACGTCCTTAGGCCTTGATTCCCCACGCAGAGAGAACTGAAACAAAACATTCCCAACTCCTGTCAGGGATTAGAGGACCTGGGATGCTGGGCAACTGCTTACAGGAGTGTCCTGTCCTGAACTCTGGCTCGTGGGGTGAAGGTTTGGAGGAGCCCATCATTCTCCACTTGTTTTCACTCTTACAGCATCAGCTGCAAGCCTGCCGGGCAAGGTAGCATCCAGCAAACTGCAGGATTTTAAGCCTGGGTCTTAACCAAGCCTGACTTTTGGGTGACTCGTGGTCAC